GTGTGTGTGTGTGTGTGTGTGTGTGTGTGTGTGCACGTGCTGTGGAGCTGTCTTTGTGTGTGCAGGAGACAGACAGTTGGCCCACCTCCACAACACAACCACTGCCATTCCCATCTCCACAATAAGCCATTGAGCGCAGAACTCGGCTCCAGTTTCACTCGAAGAACAAGCATTGGCTTTTAATGGTGGGAACTTCACCCCCTGCACACACACTCCTCTTACTCAAGTACCTTAATTTTTTTTTTTAAGTCTTCCTTTGTTGCTGACAAAACAGTGTCAGCAACAAAGTGTGTTTTGTGCATTTTTTTTACCTTCCTGTAACAGATGTTCAAAATGTTGAACGCAGCAACAAATGAATGCCTGACTGGATATTTTCCCCCTCCCACTACCATCTCGTGTGCGGAATTGAATTGACGGATGTTATAAATAGCCACCCTGACTGATTAAAGTCTTGCTTAACTAGCATTTCTTGGGTCAGAGGGTGCTAGTTATCAGATGAAAGCCTTGGAATTTCAAATAAAAAGAGAAATTCACGCTCAGTCTGTATTTTTTTCCTCCAGATGATATGCTTTGCTATCATTCACCATTCACAGTTGTTCTATTTCTGAATCATTACGAACCAAAGGGGAAATGTTTTTACCTATTACAAGTGTTTTTGTTTCAGAATCCTTCACTGAAATTCCTGGGCTGCTGTTTATCTTCATGTTGCCAGTAATTCATATCATTCACAAAGATGTCCTGACTTACCGTTGCTACATTTGTCACATTGTTTACATGATCTTGAGGCCAAAGACATTAGCTTTAGTACTTATTACAACAGAAGCACACCTTTGCCTCCCGCTGGTTCGGTGCGGCATTCTAGCACACTGTTCACAAAATAAAAGACAACCTTCCACAATCCGAATGACTCATTAAGTAAATCACCCCCCACCTCCAGACAAGAAGTCTCACTTTTGGGTGGCTCTTGCCAAGCCAACGAACTAATTCCATAAATGTTCAAAGAAAGTGTTTTCGGTAAAATAATATTTTTCTCCTATCATCAGAAGTGTCTAACGGTTACTGTACAGCAGCAGAGGGTTGGCAGGTGTCAGATGTCAGGATGATGACATTCAGCTTTTTCTCCATACACTCCGTTAACAGACCTGCTATTCTTCCGATGTTTACTCATGGCTTTTACACATCAGGGCTGTGCAGAGACACCCCCCCCCCAACACACATGTGCCTGTTACAGACATATAACTCGTTTCATATAGGCACAATGGCAAAAGCTCATCGCTGCCAGCTGACCAGTTCTCTTTCCGCATGTATTCATATTCTATTCCTGACTACCAGTGATGTTTTAAACACATATGTTCATTCAGTACAGTATAGATACCATTTACAGTGCTTCCACCTAGTGGTCAGTAATGGTAATATATTTCAATTACAAAGGGCTGACTGGGTGTTTTTAAGAGCAAAAATCCTTGGTATGTGGGTACAGGTGGTAGGCCGACTCACCATGATCATCCCCGGAGCTACATTGTGTCTCTGCTGAAGCAGAGAAGGCTGTGAGACTGAAGGCGAGTCTGTGGCATGGGTCGTGTACTTCACCATGCGGAATGGATCCAGGTAGCACTGGAGTAAGAGGGTTCTGGTAAGGGTCGCGGTATACTTCACGTGAGGCGACGCATACACAACGCTATGTAACGCCAAACAGGTGAAAAACACGAGAATTTTACCGCGTAGAATACATGCTAACAATGCTGTAACACATGAACACTGTAAACGGACTACTTCATTACTATAAGCGAAACTACTATCACTCTCCAGTAAATGATCCGGCTGTTTGAATGGGTGAAGTTGTACCTGAGCACATGGCATGCTCCTGTTCTTGTTCCTCCTCCTGTACATCTCCTCCAGTGCAGCCTCAGCAGATGCAGACCACGGGTTTTGCGCCGCGGCCACATACACGATCAGGATCTGCTGACGGCGCAGCGCCTGGCTGGAGACGAACGCGTCATACTCCAGGTCCGTCAGCAGGGGCATACGGTGGGCACTGCAGGGGCACAGCCGGCACCCCTCGTGACCAAGCAGGGTGGCCCGTAGCAGGCTGGGGCAGGGCACAGAGAGGTCTGGGAGTACAGGGCTGGGCCGGGGCATTTCTGGGCTTCTTGGGGTCAGTAGCAGACTGAAGGGGACAGACAAAAACAGATTATACTGGCATCTCCACTAGGGGGCAGAAGATTAGACAGGAGTGTGAAGTCTGTACTTCAGACGTTACTGCATTCAGCCTTACTCCAGCATGACGTTGCTGTACACCCGGAGCGGCCCAGCCTCTCTGACATAACGAGCTTCCCCTCTTTTCTCATCCCATGGGGTTTTCAACCTGCTGTGACACAAGGACACCGAACGAAGGCCAAAGTGACATTTTAAATGTCACCCACACTGTGCCCCTGATTGGGCTTTTTATAGGAGAATCTTAAATTCTATGGTTTTCAATGAACCAGTAATCAAAAAGGAATCTCTGTTAATCTCTTATTCATTATAACTGGGTTTTTAAATAACTAAAAGCATATATTGTGATCTGATTTTGATCAAGCCCCATTTTCACGTTTGTTTGGACCAGGGGTGCCCAACCATTTTTTACCGTGAGAGTTACTTATACAAAGTAAATACTCTGAACAGCTACTGAATAGTATATTTTGCTGCTGAATGAGGGCGGGGTCATTATCAACTGGTTGGCCACCAATGAAATAAAGCATTATCCATTAATCATCTAGTGATCAACCTGAAAACACCAATAGCCATAATATACCAGTCGTTTGCAATGGAGGGGTTGGGTGCTGCAGTTTCGGACAAATGTGTCTGTTAAATAAATAAATGCAAATGTATGTTTTCCGGATGTCTTCCAGGCCAGATGTGGTTAGGAATAGTCTGTTTAGAAATATGAGTATTTCTCAGCATCCTTCCTCCAGTGATTACCGTGCCAGTGGAGTGCAGATGGGCAAGTCCCACCGGATGCTGTTTGCAGGTGCAGACTGATGGTGAGTTGTCATGTGCCCCTCAGCACTGCCCCCTAATGGCTGCTCTGAGTATGGGACTTCTGTACCAGCAGCGGAAATGGAGGTCAGGGCTGCTGATGGGAGCTGCTGTTTCAGAAGGGTCCTGCAGGGGGATTCTGATACCTTCAGACCTGAAATATAGCTGGTCAGTCAGTAAAATAAACACAGAGATTAAGGACACAAGGATTAAATATGATGCCTTTATTACAATCACATACAGGCTACAACTATTAAAATTTAAAAGCATAAATAAATTTATGACTATGCAGGTCTGTGAGCACAAACTTTAGGAAGGATAGCAAATTAAGTTTATCAGTTGAATGTTTAACCTTTTAGCTACATTTCTTCTGTAATCAGAGGCTTTGCAGTGCCTCGGTTCAGCGGAATCAGTCTCTTGGACACCTGTTTCCCAATCCACACACCAACGGTGACACGGTAGTGTTCCAACCAGCAATCCACGATGCTCCCAGCTCTTCGTCGAAGCCGTCTCAGTTCCTGTTCCATCTGTCCTCCTCGCTGAGCCACACGGTTCATCTGACAGTTTGTCACCTCTGTTGTCACTCCCTCTGCTGGCCTTACTGCTACCTGTGCCCAGAATGTAGCCTTAAATGGTGTGGGGAGCTATTCATAAGTGACACTGAGCCAAACAAATAAGATTCATACGTCACTGACAGAACAAAGATGATCTGATGACTTGGGTCCTGAATCTCCCTCTGGGGATTAACAAGGTGAGTGAGTATGTTTGTATATGTATGTATACTATATGGACAAAAGCATTGGGACACAACTCTTAATTACTGAATTCAGGTGTTTCATTCAGACCCACTGCCACATAAAATCAAGCACCTAACTACGCAGTCAAGTTTACAAACATCGGTAAAATAATGGATCGTTCCAAAGAGCTAAGTAAATTCAAGCATGGTGCTGTCATAGGATGCGATTTATGACAGTTCATAAAATTTCTTCTTTGCTGGATATTCCAAGTGGTATTATTGCAAAGTGGAAGCATTTAGGCACAAGAGAAAAGACCACGTAACAGTAACAGAATGGGGTCCCCGAGAGCTGAGGAGCATAGTGTGGAAAAGTCGCCAACGCTCTGACAACTCAAACACTGCAGAGTTCCAAACTTCCTCTGGGATTATAATATAATTATATTAAGTTCTCCCTTATAAAGAACATACCTATCTAGTGAAATACAAAAACAGACATCTCCATGTCCACTAAATTAGTGTTTCTTTTTTCTGCATCCAGTTCTTTCCTTCATCCATCTCTAAAAGTGTCTATGTAAGAGATTTTGTAAGCATTGGGGGCAGGCCATAAATCCCACACATGCAATCGTGGCAATGGGAATTCAATTTCGCCAACGATTCCTATATCAGAGCAAGTGTAATGTTTTAGTGCTCTGAAAAAGAGGTGACGTGCAGGACCCTTCGCTGTTGTGGTCCAGAGCTTCTCACCAGGCTTTTCACACCAGAAGGAGGAGTGATTGACAGCTGCACACTCTCCTGGGGACCCCTGAACCAGAGAGTAGCGGAGGCTGGGCTCCGTACTCGCAGTGAGATCAGCTCAGTCACCTGCAAACAGGAAACGCGGACAAAATGATCCAGGCCTTCCCATACACACAAAGGGCACATAGATTCATAGGCTCTTCTGAGCCTTCTAACCTGTATACGGATTGGGTCATTCGATGAGGTTCTGAGGCCCCAGATCCATTCCTTCTTCACAGCCCCATTTGGATCACACATAAACCCCCCGCGCTGATTCCACGTTGCCATCACTGTGCCACTAGAGCCGTGACATAATGACATCATCAACTGCCACTTATATTACCATCCTACTCTTTGTATTCTCCCCTCACAAAGCAACTAACAGTAAATTGATCACTTAAACACAAGTGGTAAAATGAGGGTTTCTATCTCCATGTTCTCACTGGAAGGTGTCCTACCTGAGTGGGTGTGTGACACTGCCGCAGCCCAATGCTGTAAAGGTGGCCAGAACGTCCTGCTCAGGAGTGTCCCCAAACACATTGGTGTAGAAGCCGCCACACAGCAGTCCGGAAGGGGTCTGGCACACTGCTACACGCCCTGAAGGGTAGCTGGCACAGTCAAGGAAAAGATGCGGGCCTGCTTTCTCCATCCAGCCCCAGAGATGATGATTAGCTTAGTTTGCACCTGGTGCACATCTGTGGGTCAGTTTCTATGTTTGTATTGCCTTTCTGTGGGAAGCTTAAACATGATGTAAGAAATAAAGTATTTTGATCAAACCACATATGAAGGATAGATTCTCTCACCAATAAGAAGCATTTATTTCTATCCATCTTCCTTAAGCACATTTCCAATTCAGGGTCATGCTGATGCACGATCACACATCATGGAAAATTTAGAGATACCAATTCAGCTAATTGCTACATGACAGAAAACTCTGCACAGATGTAGAGCGTAAGGACCTGCATTGTGTAGTGCAGGCTGTCCAGTGACTCATCGGGGCTGACCTCCGAAACCTAGACACTGATTAAAGACCCTCTCTAATAAAGATATTTTTTTTCACAAATGACAGGGAAACCAAAGTCAAAACTGCTGATCCCAGAAAGGACACTAGATGAAGGAGGTTCCATCATCGGTTCTGTAGTGCAGCTTTGGCAGTGATGGTTCTTCTTGGACTATCTGGGGGAGTGGAGGAGGACCAGAGAAGGAAACACCTCCCCTTCTGCAACCGACCACGGCTCTTTTCCTGTCATCCCCATAGTGACGCAACACCAGTGACTTGGTGAGTCCTCGCTCCTTAAGCTCTGCAGTTTGCTCCTTTCTAACATTGGGAGAAAAAAAGAGGAGGACTTATTTACAAATAGCTAAGTTTAATTTCAGGATAACTTCTACTTACATGATTAAACAGACAGACGGACGGATGGACAGACAGGCAGACAGACAGAGTGAGAGACAGATATATAGCCATATACTTTATCAATCCTTTAATATAAGATTCAGATACTCATATGGTTAATCAGAAAAACAAATAGCTCCTTTGTACAGTGGTGGCCTTACCATAGGGTGAGGGAAGCAGCCACCTGGGGCCCCCAAAAACTTGGGGCCCCATGAAGACAGAATTTCCAGAAGTTACATTTAAGAATATAAGATAAGAAGATCATTTAAATTACAGCTACAAGCCTGTTATTTGCATTATTACTGACAGCCTTCAGGACAGACAAAGTTGCCCCCTGTCCCGGCTGTAACGTAATGTAAGGTGGCCATATACTTCAAACGATGTCCAGACAAGACAAAATCTAGCACATCAGTGAGAACAATGTTGCATACTTCAAACGACGCCATCATCATATTCATTCTATTTCATGCTACAACACCATACACACCAGTCATCACACCCCAATTGAGATTGAGAACCACTTGTGGAAAAAATCTGATGAAAAAGGTCATGTGTCTGTGTGCCAGGTAAATCCTGTATGATGCACCATTAACGTTACTCACATGGCTTTTACCACCGGCTGAAGCCTCTCCACAACCCACTGACACTGCGCCTGCCAATCAGGGTCATCACGGGGTGGCGGCTCTGGGTAAATAAGCCAACCTGCGGGAGGAATGAGGAGACAGCATTGCTCAATATGGTATTCATTAAGTCCCGGCCTGGAGACAGTATTGTGTTTCTGTATGAAGGGGAAGAGGAAACAATATATAGTAAATTGCACCTTGATCACTGCAGAGCGCAGAAGATATTGAGAAGCTTATAGTGGTTGGTACCTCAGTTGATTCTGCTGAAATTGAAAGTTTACATTTTAGCATTGTAGGAATTTTAATTACGGCATAAATATCATAATATGGCTTTAAAGTATTTCATTCAAACCATTTCCTATGGATCGCATTCAGTGCACTCGTTATCAAGCAAGTAGACGGTATGCGTTTTTATTGTTTTCACGGAGAAGTATAAGTAATTTAAGTGGTAAAACTGTGGAGCAGGTAATAATATCCGCCGTAACACCAGTAACGGTATCCACCCTGGACTGCCTAATACAAACCAGCCTGCCCTCCGCGCACCCGGTCTAGTCAGGGGTAACGTGAGATGCCCCCTTGATGACTGGCAACAACTCACTGAGTCATAAATGTTTAACGTGCCATTTCATTTCAGATGAAGGGGTCCACGAAGTGGCTATTTAATTAACACTGTCGGGACGTAAAGTGTGAGTTGCGATTGTAAGACTATTTAACCATTTTGTGTGTTTTTCGCTAATTTTTTCACGCAGTGTTAGCAAATAATGAGATACTGTAATAATGCACCTACACGTTTAACACTCACAGCTGTGTGCCTTGGCATTCGTTTGCTTGTTTTGCAAGCACGGAGATTCCAGGACGATTTCTTCCCTGAGTTTTTCCGCCGTCTTTCTGTTTTTTGTCTTGACCTGTAAGCCGTCCGTCTGACGTGCATCAACGGAAGGCTCCGCTGCAGCCAACGCGGCTTTCAGGTTGTGCTCTTTCCTACCTGTGAAGTCCAGGGTTTTCCACTGTCGTTTATCATAAGCGTCTGCTCCTGTCAGCTCATTCCAGGTGTAATTCAATATATTCATCAGCCCCCGGGGCAAAGAAAAATCTACCTCGCATCTCTCGCACTGATGAAGCAACTTTCCCAGCTCCTGGAGGAGATAAGCAGCTCTTTTTCTAAGCTCATTCAAATGTGCCTTGTCCTCCAACCCCGATCCCCAAGCGCCTACAGATCCCTGATCATTTTTTGTACTAGGCAGCGTTTCCCATTTTATTCCCCTTTTCAGTTTTTCTCTCTTAATTTCACTGTCGTCGTCATCCTCTTCTTCAGAGTCACCGTCGGCAACCGACCTGTTCAGTCGACATGTTACATATTCATACTTTAATAATCCAGTCAGTCTCCGTTATGTATCCTAGTCATATAAACACAGGTGTTATAAATGGTACTACAAGTAGCAGGAATCCAGTACAAACGTCTCCGGATACTTACCTATTAACGACTGATTCAAAGGATGGCTGGTTACAGTAGTATCGTAAAGGAAAAGGTGGGCGGTCAGCCGAAAATCTTGATCGTTTGTCTTTTTTACTTGAATGCTAAATATTTAGAGAAATTTCTATTAATCAATTGTTATAATAGTTATTTATGACTGTAAACTATATCTACCTCATGTTACCTGATCAAAGAAGTATATTGGTCCAGGTCTGTCTTCCATTTCCAAACTTCAAATAAAAGTGGTTTTAAATATTGCATTTAAGAACATTATCATTGTTCTGTAAATAAGCTGTACCAGTTGATATAAACTATAATTTCTTACGATTCTGAAAGCCTGGTACACCCTTATGAAAGCGTCGCATTTACCTTTTAGTTTGTAAAATCTTGTTGCTTGGATACAACTTGTTTTCCAAGTGAGTACATTGAATCAAATGGTGCAAGTCATCCCTACTGTATGATTAAAAGTCAAAACATCATGCCAACCTATACGAATATAAAGTCGCCATTCCTCACATATTTTTAATGCACTAGATGTATCCCTTACCAAGGGACGCTGGAAAGTGATTTGACCGTGATGAATGTGGGCTTTACACCGAAGACGGACATATAGGCGCCTCCCTCTGGTCATTGCCGGTAGTGCTGAAAGAAAACAGGCGTCGAAACCAGTGGTGGTGGGATTACTGCTGTATCCCGTTTCCATCAACGCGGTGCGGGAGACGGGCTTTTCCAGAACTGGTTCTGCCCATTTCCACAGCAAAAAAACATGGCCCTTGCTGTCAGTCACAAGATCCAATCCAACGAAGGCTCGCTCAGAAAGTGATATTGTGCGAAACCAACGGCCACAGATAGATATTGATGCTTTAATATTTTTACATTTGAGCCTCTCTGCTTACGACGCCTGTGTTGTCGAAAACACTCAGACGTCTAAGCTTGCTTGTTTGATAACGTAGATAATATTTTTCATTCGCAAAACCTTACTGTCAGTTTTCACTGTACGCGTCAGGAGATGCAGATGAATGGCCGGTCATTCTTGAGTAAAAAATACCTACTAAAAGGCGATGAAGTGACATTAGGCTTCAGACTGTTTCAGTCCTGAGGCCGTTATTTTCTCGTGCTGCGCTCGTGCTCGGCTTCGGCTCGGATTCGGGAGTCTCCGTCATTCGCCGGTCGGGGTTTCCCAGCATTCCCAGCACGCTGCTACACCTCCCCCTCCCTTCCCCTTTGGTGTCTGCAGTCATGGCGGATGTGGTGCAGCAACTGGAGGCGAAGCCCGAGCAGGAGAAGATTCTGAACGGGAACGCGGAGCTCGACGAGAGAGAAGACGCGGACCCTTCGGAAGAGACGGCAAAGAAGAAGAAGAAAAAGAAGAAGAAAAACAAGCCGGCGACCCAAAGTGAGGAGGTGTCAGGGACAGGCCGCGTTGGTGAGTGCTGAAGGCCGCACTTTCTTACGCCAAGATGTATATCATACGGAAGAGTTTGCTTAAATCCCCTGACATTTATATCGTACAAAGAAAATGCTCGATCTGTTATTAAACCGATTCGTCGATTGTTAAAATTGTGAGACGTTGGCTTAATTGTTAACTTAATTTTTGGACTTGCCATGTGCGGAAGAATACCGTCTTGCGTGAACGCCCGATATCCACACTCGGTAAAATTAACCAACAGCAGCCCCATAAACGTCTGCCGTTAAACGTCGGGGCGGTTCTAAAGCCGTCTACCTACAACCCTGCGCATTTGTCTCATGCAGTCTGACGGTCAGACCTACGCCTGACATTTAAAAACGAGCAGCAGCTAGCGGGCTAAGCCCACTGCGCCGTTTGGTATAGACGTCAAGCATGACAGTGAAAGTTAAACTACCCCAAGTAAAGGGCAGCATTAGTATAGTAAGTTGGATTATTGCCTGCCTAAGATAACACAGCTAGTTTGGTGCCGGGGCTGCAATGTATTTTACCCAGGTCAGCTCCATGGTGTGTGTAATTTTTTACCTTAATTGGAAACCAGAAAGAGTGCTGTCTCCAAGCTGCTGGCGTTTTCCAGCTGGGGAGCAGAATGCGCTTGCGCAGTTGTGTATGATGATATGACTCCCAAGGTTATAGCCCAGCAAAACGCCTCTCAGGCTGGTGCTCTTTATGCACTAGTGTTTTAATGTGAGAGGGGTATATAGGGCTCTCGAAGGAACAAACAGGAACGCCTCAGCTCGTTCAGAAATACTTTTTTAAAAGCGATACAAAATTATAAAACGCAAGACAAAATATAATATAATAAGCATTGATAAGTAGTCCAGAGCAATACAAAATTAGGAAATATGAGTATTGGTAAGTAGTCCCTTTAATGATTAAAATGCATCAGCAGCTGCAACGCTATTCACACTCGGACGTGCCATCATCAACCACCTTCACACACGGACCGGGGAGTCCTTTTCAGTCCAGGCAGGAAACCAACACGTGAGTCCTGAGAAATGCCGGGCGATGCTCGCTCTGTCCCACGGCTGAGCTCCAGTCAGTACCAAGTTTTTCCCCTTCCTTTATTCTAAATCGTGAGCGGTATGCGTGTGGGGAGGGGGAGAGCTGACCAGGCTCACCCCTCCCCTCAGGCGATGCGCTCTTCGTTCTCCAATTCCTGTCCAGGTGAGGCTATTTGTGCTTGCGGTTGCGAAACATTTTGAGACAACATAAGCGTCCCTTTCCCCAGAGAAAGACAAGACAGGTGTCCTAGCTCTTTCTGTGAGAATCGAGTTATTTGTGGGAAACAAGTTATATAAGTGATCAGTGAAAAACATGCTTGTGCAGTTCGACCTTGGCACAATAATATTATGGGTGAATCATGGACGACTTATGTGAATTTCGGGATGATTAGTCCATACACAATAATCCATATCTCAATCACCTCATATGTATTTCTGCCAAGCAGGTACTCTGCCCAGCTGTGAGTAATGGAGCGGAACAATCACAGCTTCCCCAATCATTACAGTTACAGGAGGACAATGAACAAATTGTTTAATTTGCTATGTGGGCGACGTAACCAATTACATGGCCACTTGTGAGTTCGTCTTGATACAACTAGGTTGTCCCATTTACAAAATGACTTTTCCTGTTATTTGCTTCTGGACTTTTTCTATTAGTCAGCATCTGCTGGATGCCCCATAGTAAGTTTCGTGCTCTTATTGCAAAATGTATAGGAGATCTGGGGGGAAGTGCCATCCCTTTATTGGTGGTGTTTGACCAGTTGAAGGCATGGTGATGAATGAATGATACTTGTTTAAACAGTGAATTTTCCAGATGTGGGGAGTGTGTTTGGGTTGCCAGACATAAGTAGTGTGTCGTCAGCCTAATGAGGATGTGCGGTATCAGTCCATTAGCCTTCTGTCTGATTTCTGCAGCTGCAAGCAGTGAGGCAGACGGTGTAGGCATTGCCGGAGGAGTGAGCAGCGTGACCAAACAGCTGGAGAAGCAAGTCATCGAGGACAAGGAGAGAGAGGAAGACGGCGAGGATGGTACTGTGTCCCTGGCCCATGTCCGTCCTCTCTGTTACATCTGTTTTGGTGTCGATAGTGCCATCGCCCTGTAATCTGAATACCGTGTTCTCCACAGATGGAGAAGAAGGAGAGAACTCTGCTGGGAAGAAGAAGAAGAAAAAGAAAAAGAAGAGAGGACGTAAGATGCTTGTGTGTCTCTCTGCGAACCCCCCCCACCCCCACCCCATCCATCCATCCCTTTCGAAATAAAGGAGCTGTTTCAGTCACTGGTTTGTGATCTGTGGTTCTGAAAGCAGTTTGAATAGGACACGTCCCTCCCTGAGCTGATAACCAGGTTGTGGTACGTACACTGGTGCCACAACTCGTCTCAGTTTGGGTGTTACAAATACCCGATTTGGCTGAGCCAGTGCGTTAAATACTCACCCAATGTTAGCAGATTCTCAGTTCTGTTAAAAATAGATGCACCAATTATATCGCCCGATGCAGCAACATTCGGCCATTGGCTAATGATTAAAAATGAACTGATATTTATTCTTTAAAATGGTGACCTATATCACTTTGCCACCCGCATACTACACAGAAAGATGTCTGCTGTGTGTAATTATTTTAATGTTGGAAAAATCGTTACAATTTCTTTTTGTGGGCACTGCTCTGCTAAAATTTCCAGAGGAAGATCTAGTTTAAAAAAAAAAAAAAATGCAAAATCAAAAGATATTACTTGGAAAATTATGCTTAATGATCAGCCCTTCTCCATTATAAATGTTATAAATATATAAGACATTATATACAGTTATATAGTGCTCTGGGACTGGTGTTTTCTTACCAAGAAATACTTTTTCATATTTTTGTAATGTAATTTATTTTTTGATCTATTTGGGTGGAATGTCCCTTTAAACTTATTTAAGCAGAACCGCCCAAGCAATCGTTGTCGGTGTGAGATTTCGAAATAGCCGTCACTCATTAAAAAGCATCAGCTCATGCAGCCATGAGCGGACGACTCAAACTTGCAGAGCTTGAATACATTTCACATGTAAAAGGAAAATGTTTACATCATTAGCTATGCCTCTGTCTCCATACAGCCAAAGGACAGACCGACCCTCCTTCTATCCCCATCTGCGAGCTCTACCTGAGTGGGGTTTACCCAAAGGGGCAGGAATGTGAATATCCCGCGACACAGGACGGGTGAGATCCGTGAGCCCTTAATTTTCAGTTACACCGATGGTTATGACATTGTGGTAAATTCTCCGAGGTCCTTTACTGCTCTGATAATGAGCACCTTGTTTCTGAGACTGAGCTGTGGCGTACCCAGGTTGTTACTACATGTCTAAAGCACGTACACACCTTGCTTGTAAATCCAGGGGACTGGTTGCTGACTCCAGCCTGCCGCACAAAGGGAGGCTCCGATCTCATCATTGTCCCTGATGAGATCTGAGCCTCCCTTTGTTGCTGGCTCATTAGAGGGCCAGTCTCGGTTCAGAACTGCTTTGAAGTGCATCGTGGGTACTCCCCTGATTGGCAGGCGCACCGCGGCATGGCGAATGACCAGCGAGGAGAAGAAGGTCCTGGACAAGGCCAACGAGGAGGTGTGGAGCGACTTCAGGCAGGCGGCCGAGGCCCACCGACAGGTCCGGCAGTACGTTATGAGCTGGATTAAGCCTGGGTTGACCATGATCGAGATCTGGTGAGTCCAACTGTCCCCACGTCGCTTTGCAGGTCGTCTATTACACGTCATGCTTTGGATTGCTGCCGGGGTCAATGATGTTGTTTTCTGAGGTCCGGTATCACTCCTCTTCAGTGTTTTCATCTCTTTTCTCTTCGTCCCCTCGTGCTGCTTCCCCCCCATTTCTACACGCCCGGCAGCGAGAAGCTGGAGGACTGCTCCCGGAAGCTGATAAAGGAGAACGGGCTCAGTGCTGGCCTGGCCTTCCCCACTGGCTGCTCCTTAAACAACTGCGCCGCCCACTATACCCCCAACGCCGGCGACACCACCGTGCTGCAGTACGACGACGTCTGCAAGATCGACTTCGGCACACACATCAACGGTGAGTCCTGGGTCCGAGGTGGGTTCAGGCTGGGATTTTATGCCTGTTTGAGAACTACTCCGCCTGGTAGATCTGATCCAAGGTGTGTGCGAGAGTGAGAGGTTTTGTTCAGTGCTTTTTGCCCCTCTAACCTCCGTGCGCTGTGTCCTTAATCTTTCAGGTCGAATCATTGACTGTGCCTTTACCGTCACCTTCAACCCAAAGTATGATAAGCTGCTGGAAGCTGTGAAAGATGCCACCAATACTGGAATTAAGGTAGGGGTAGGGTCCCCTGCGGTGCTCAGGTCTCAATCACGTGTGTTACGTGACCTAATTGGGGCCTTATACCCAGATAGATCTGCTCAGGGTCTCTTTCACCAACCACCCCGTACTTGTATCAATGTAATATCTACATTTTCTAATTGGTGTTCTTTGCTGCTGTTTTTCTTTCCCGCTCAATCCACCAGTGCGCTGGAATCGACGTTCGCCTCTGTGATGTCGGGGAACAGATACAGGAGGTTATGGAGTCTTACGAAGTGGATATCGACGGCAAAACCTACCAAGGTACGGAGGATGGGAAAAGCAGGGCGTTGTAGGTTTTTGCTGCCCTTAGTTGCCGCCCCTCCCCTTCCTGATTAGGCTCTCAGGAAGCTAAACGTTGAGCTGTTGTGAGTTACAGAACAGCTTTTGTTGTGGCTCTTGCCTGTACTGAGATCTTTTTGTCTCAGCTGATGTTATGCTTGCGTCAGGGACACTTCTCCTCCTTTGTGTTTCAGTGAAGCCCATTCGGAATCTCAATGGCCACTCCATCGGACAGTACAGGATACACGCTGGCAAGACTGTCCCCATTGTCAAGGGTGGAGAGGCCACAAGGATGGAGGTGGGTGTTAGACCAACAATGCTGTCACGCTTTGAGGAGACTCCATTCATTCAGAGCATCTGAAAAATCGTGCTTTTTATGGTTGAGGGGATTATGGGTAAAACAAGTGGTGGTCGGCTTACATGTTTCAGAGAGGCATGGATCGGTAGTGTCTCCTCCCCCCTAGTGGCCCCTACCTTGCCGGCATGATATTTTAATTACGATGTAATCATAGTTAATTTCCGGCTTGATCAATTTTTAGATATATCTCTGTTTTACGTGTTTGGCTTGAACAGGGCTGTGCTTAGCAACTTCGGGGTGACGGAGAGGGTTAGTTTACTAGGTCGTAGTATACTTGGGGAGGTTCATTTTTAATGGGAGGGAAAACTCCCCCAAGTATTGTGAAGCCTGCCAGTGGTCATCAGAGCAAGCAGCTGTGATTGGTCAGCCCGAGCCCAAGGCTTCTTCGACCCACCCAGAGCGGCTAGCTGGCTAATGCTAACATGCTTACTCTGATATCTGTGCTCTCTGACCTGCATATTACACGTCCCATTGGGCGCAATTCCATTTTAAATGCGCTGTAGTGATTGCAGGGTGGATGCCAAGGATTGGCAGGAGTGGCTGCTGGCTCGCATTCCTGCTTACTATGCAGAGTGGATCCAAAGCTGGCCTGCAGCTGAAATGTCATTTTCGGCATATGTTTAAGAATGAAACAGCAGGCGTATTACATTTTGTTGTGGAAATCTGAAAAGGAGAAAATTAAATGAGATGTGGAAATGTGCCGGAACACGATTATATAATCCTCATGCAAACACGGTATACTTGTATAACTGCAAATGTGCTTTTAAGTTTTTCAGTGTACACTAGTCTTCCCATATCAGTGGGTAATTCGTACCGAGACCTACCGCAGAGAGCCAAAAAAACCCCATATATAAAATGATTGTCATACATGGTAACTGATAAGCTCAATAAGACAGTGCATGCAGTAATAGCAAAGTATGTTGTACAGTACTGTACTCTCTTGAATGAAAGGGATTCTGATGTTTTAGCCTAATTCTCAAGGGAAGATTAAGCAATGGAAAAGTATCACGTATCAAGGGATGATGAAACAATGAATATCTTCCTTTTGTATGCTCCTCAACAGATGAACAAAACATATCGTCACACATTTTACAAATGGTTATTTTTTTAACTGCAGTAAAGTACAGATATGGGGACCACTGCTGGACTGTGCCTGTGTACACTGCTAACACGCCAGAGCAGTTGTCAGCTGTGATTGGTCCATTGAGGGAGGTAGTTGCTGTTTGGCTGTTGTACTTGTGTCCGCCCTGCCCCTAACTGAGGCTCCTCCCACAGGAGGGGGAGGTGTATGCCATCGAGACGTTCGGAAGCACAGGCAAGGGGGTGGTGCATGATGACATGGAATGCTCCCATTACATGAAGAATTTCGACGTCGGGCACGTTCCAATCAGGTCGGTGTGTGTGTGTGTGTGTGTGTGTGTGTGTGTGTGTGTGTGTGTGTGTGTGTCAGAGGGCTGTACGGATCAGTGCACATGCTGAATAGAGAAGGACGGTCGACTCTGGAATCGGATCTTAATGTCAAACAGATGCCTGATCCCTCTGTTCTTTGAATGCTGTTGCCTTTACTGAATTGACTGATTAGGTCCTTACTTTAATAGTTGTTGTGTAGATGTGTTGCTGTTGTGTAGTTTCTGCTCCAAAAGCACTTGCAGTTGCACCTGGACATTCACTGTAAGCTTAGCCTAGCTGCGCTTGTGCCTAGTTGATTCCTTGACTGCATGAACGCTTGCGATGTGCATTTTGCCTTGATTTGTACGTCGCTTTGGACAAAAGCATCTGCTATATATGTAGCTGTAAGGTTAATAGACAGAGTACACCGGAGTGTCTGGTGTGATTCCCCTTTAGTTACCTCACCGCATGGCCCCCCCCCCTCCCCACAGACTCCCAAGGGCTAAGCACCTGCTTAACGTGATCAACGAGAACTTCGGGACGCTGGCCTTCTGCCGGCGCTGGCTGGATCGCCTCGGAGAGAGCAAATACCTGATGGCTCTGAAGAACCTGTGTGACCTGGGCATCGTGGACCCGTACCCCCCCCTGTGCGACACAAAGGGGTGCTACACGGCGCAGTTTGAGCACACTATCCTACTCCGGCCCACCTGCAAGGAGGTGGTCAGCCGGGGAAACGACTACTGACCGTCCTTCCCCCCTCGACAAACCGAAACGTCATACGCGCACTAAAAAAAAAAAAGCAAAAATGTATTAAAAATAAACGCATTTAACAAGAGCTTGCTTTGTTCTCACTTCTGGCTTTGCCGAGGGCGGCGGTGTCGTCGTCTTGCCGTCCCTCTGCTGCAGCGGCCTGCTGAACCTGAGTTCCAGTGAAGCTGAGTGGCCGCGTCTAGCGGCGGGATCGGGCGTCCTGAAAATCCGTTCAGTCGCTTTTTACAAGACATGCTTCGGTGACATTACGAAATCAACCCCCCCGGGGGAAATTGTATAACGGCTGCAAGCTTGGCTTCTAGCGAAAGTGGAAGGCTCTCTGGCCAGAAAGTTATAAAAAATCTGCAGCCTGCTCCTCCGTTCTGTATTTATATTGGGATTTTTTTTTGTTTTCGAGAAATATTGAAATGTCTGATTCTGACCTCTGTGCCCAATGCAGTTCTTCATTTTCGATTCCCTGAAATGTTTTTTGTAGAAAAATAAAGTTATATAAAAGTTATCCCTTACTGTTTCCAAATTGCTTCTTAATGGTCAGTGCCCAGTGTGGCCATGGACAATCCAGTGGGAGCTGTAGCAGGAATCCAGTTTCTAATTAATTTCTTTTATAAATTACATTACTGACCAGGTGGTGGCAGAATTTCCTGTTATGTTAAGCAATAAATGTTTGTCAGCTTAAGCCTGCAGGCTTTGTGGTTATGACAGTATGAGGAAGTTAGGCTGTTGTGTTGACTTTTGCCCTCTAAATGATCCAACGATAAATGTTTAGCAAACAGCATAGGTGCTAATAGAATTCACCTGTACTGTATTCAGAAATGTTTGTTATGGGTTGTTAATGAGTGAAGGCTGCAAGGCTGGCCGTTCACATTGTTGTAATAGTCTGTTCTGAGGGCACAAGATGTCATTGAACCTGAGTTGTAAAGTGCTGAAAGATGCAGTGAAACGCACAAGTCGTGATTCACTGGGCTAGAGCTTTTCCTCGGGGTTGGGCTAAGGGGGAAAGTATGGACCCCCCCCCCCTTTTCTGAAATTCAGTTTTACACATCACTGTGCTCATGTACAACTGGAGAAATATTTGTCTTTAAAGTGCCTTCTGGGGCAGTCTGTTTGGTTTGGATGTGGTTTGCGACACAGCCTCCATGAAACCACTGAATGTGATTTTGTGCACAAAATGCCTTCAAATACAGCACAACATCAGTTCAGGACATATTAAGGAGACGGGACTCAAAAGTGACGTTTAACAAAGAGCTGGAAGACCAGTGCATGAAGGGAGATCATTGCAGGGGCTGAAGTCACTTGGTTTCACTCCTTTTGACGGCAGCTCTGCCAGGAAAAAAGCCAGCGGTGATCTTCAGGGGCGCACAGTGACAGCCGCAGAGCGTAAACAAATCAGAAGGCTTGGGGGTAGCTATGACCAGATATTGAGGTGAGTGTAGAAGGAATGGGTTTCTGTAATTTAACAGGAAATGTTGATGAAGGATGAGCAAGCATTCTGAATACAAAAAAAAACAGGAGCCTTGTTAAAAAAAAAAATGAAAAAATATTCTCATTTTATTGAGGTAAATCTCTAAAAATTGAGGTAACAATTTGCATAGTATTACTGCCATAAATTTACATCTGGGGAAAAAAACACTCAAAGATAAAGACAAGCAGCAATGTTGTGCTTTGATTCTTCCCATAAGAAAAATGAAACGCAGTTTGACAAGCGAAGGGCATTTGCTTGCTGGCAAATCATCCTTAAGCAATACATTCTATGTATTCACACATGGACGTGGCATCTGGGATGGCATCTTCCCACAGTGATGTTCCCACCCTCCTGCCCGTACACCGTCACTGCTGCTGATAACGTGTGTCATCCCCATCTGGTCAACAAAGGCTGGTTTTGATATCGGCTCCTGACAAGGAGCACATGATTTCTAAAAAACAATCCCAAGTCACAAATGTCACATTTGTAATTAACAGAACATCTCTCTGCATCACCTCTCCAGCAGAATCTTAATTCTAACTTCAATATTAACAAATTGTTTTTTTTGGCAATTCAGGCTTCTGTTATTGCCACCTCTACAACAAAACCACTTTAAGAGCACTTTAAAAAATAAGGGTCCAGCGCAAGATCAGCACCTCCAACCTCAGAGCCGGCCAGCTACCCATCGTGAGGGACGATTAGGAGGCAGGCAGCTTGATTGTTGATGACGAAACCTCTCCTCGCCAGCCGCGGTACTAAATACTTGTATAAAATGTAAGTGGACGGCGTTGTCCTGCCAGAATGGCTGTAAACGAGTCGTGTTCCTGAAGCTGTGCACTATTCAGGAGAATTCAGCTGGGGGTCCGTACACACTCAACATCCTGAAGAAGAACCAAGGAACGCGATTTCACCCTCTCTCTCCACCACATAATCTAATGATTAAAAACAAAACTCATTCTTCTAATCACAAATACATTCTAACTTGGAGAGGAGGGCGGGCGTATTTAAATGGAACCTGCACTCTTTTAAACATGAGGCATGGGAGGTCACATTTAACCTAAATGAGGAGCCAGGGAGAGAGGTCCACGTGCCCCTCGAAATGAAGTGCTCTGACACACGGAGCGCCCTGGACCGAGCTGCAACCCAAGCCCTATGGCAAGTCTGTTCACAGTTAACACGGATGTGGGGCTGAAAGGCAAAGATCTCGATATGTCCATGTACTCGTTACTAGAGCCAACAACATTAATGACAACAGAGAAAATAAAAAACGTTCAACCATGGTAAAAACATCAATATCAAATTTCCACAAAAAATGCTTACCAAACAACTCTAGTCTTTTGGGACGGGGGACAAAAAAAAAACTGTACATTATTTATACCAATAAAAATGTTTACAAATTTAATACAAAACCTTATAAACATCATGTACAAGAATTCACAAAGATAAATGAAAAGAGCAGAACATTTTCAGTACCCAGCTCGTGTAAAAAAAATAAAATAAAATAAAGTCAAGGAAAGAGTCCTGATGTTGCCATGGAGACGCTCTCCTCCTTTGGCAGGAGATAGTCGGGGGGGGGCTCTTTCCAGAGAGGCTGCTGGTGCTCAGCTGCTGAGTGATGGTGGGCAGGTGGGGATGAGGATTTAACAAACCCCCACCCCACCCATGGGGCCTTCACCAGAGGCAGCACGACAAGGAAGAGGGGAGTGAATCCCCACTCCTACAGAGGCCTGCCTTTGTCCTGAGAGACCCTCTGCGTGTAGAAGAGGATGTAGGCCTGAGCCCGGCACACCTCCTCCACGGAGCACACGTTCAGCTTGGAGTCGTTACAATGCACCCAGAAACCTGCAGGGAAAGGGAAACCGCTTTGCATTGTGGGTATTGCACGGGCACAGAGTAAAAACTTGCCATTTCAACCCCACAGCCATAAATTCAACATAGACAGACAGAGCGACACTTCAGTACAAGAAATACCATAGAGACGCTCCTCTACTTATGAACTTTCAACTTGCAAATGAACGAAGAGGACTGCAAGTCCAAATTATGTTCATTGGGCTCCCGTTTCCTGTCCGCAACACCAATTTTTTATTTCTGCGCGCCAATCCCACCTAGTACGACTTCTGGCCGCTACTCCCGCCGCGCAGCAGCGTAGCGTGCGCACTCCCAGCATCCTATTTCTTTGTACTTGCATATACCCTTAAAATGGTGTTGGATAATGACTTACGAATGTTTCAAATTACGAACGGCCGTTCGGGACGTATCTCATTCGTCAGTAGAGCAGTGTCTGTACAATAATATTTATATAAATGTATATAAAAAAATTCTAATTAATCCTCTCGAACAGGCAGCCAGACCTACCTCCCTCCGTGTTGTAGCAATAAGCAGTATAATGGCCAGAACCAAACCCCTTCCCATGATGCATCACTACAGCAGACAGATCGTACAGGAAGTGCTCATTGTGCTTGGGGGGGTAGGGTGAGGGGTCCCGGTAGCAGTATTGCTCCATGTTCAGTTCCTGGTCGAAGCAGACATGAACGCCGATCTTCTCTCGGTGATTTCGGCCAGACCATCTGGGCAAGGGAGGGGCACAGAAGGTGATGAGGGTGCGTGAGGACCGGCGATGTGTTCACGCTTGGTGCTGTGTGGCCGGGGAGCTGACCGCCTACCTGAAGCGCTTCAAGTGCAGCCGCAGCACCTGAGGTAGCTTGTGCACCATCAGTCGCTTCCGGGCTTCCGTGAGCACGATGGCCTTGGAGGAGAACTTCCGCCGTTTGTCTGAAAGGCAAAGGGAGGAGGGATGGCACGTCAGGGCCCATGCTGAGAGAACCTGGGTCTGGTACAAACCCAGAAAGCTCCATAAAACTGAATCTTTTCAACTATGCTTTTACTGACACTGGTCTTTCAGTCCTCAATTGTTCTGTAAATTGATCTTCAATGTAACGTAAACATGCTGTTCTGCTTGTTTACACTTTAGCGGCCAAAGACACTGTGACACGTCCCACAAAACCCTAGTGTCTGTGGTCTTTCTAGATCACATGACGAGCTCAGTACTGGGAGAGACCTTTACAGGACTGGGCAGGAGGTCAGCTGGGAGGGAGGACACACCAGGGGCCTGACACTCACTGTTACACAGCTCACACGCGTAGATGTTTCCTTCCAGAGCTTCGGTCTCGGTGAACTTGGCCAGCATCTCCGTCAGGTGGCAGGAGTACTGAGCTGCCGACTCCTTGGTCTCCTTGCCGTTGCAGTGGTAGCGCTCGGGGAACTCGAGCGACAGGTCCCAGAAGGGCTCGATGGTGTTGGACCTGTTGTCACAGGACAGGCAGGTCACCTGGGAGGGGGGGGGGGACAATCGAGATGGACTGTGACAAGGACTGCGGGCAAAGAGACAACAGGCGCTGCAGTGAAACGCTAAAGGACGAAGCGAGAAACAGTGGCTGGCCGAACTCCTTATGAGACAAACCGGTTCATCTGGACAGGAAAGGATACGAGCATTTCAAACTGGAAATAAAGCAAGCAGAAAGAAATGAAGAGCAGAAGAGAGAGAGCGGTTTCCTGTAAGGAGCCTTCACCACAACAAACTCTCACTCAAGCCCCCCCCCCCTTCTTACACACACACTTTCACATTGGAACACCTGCAGCCCAAGACACATGGTGGGGGTAAAGAGCGCCTCTCCTCCGGGGCTCAGTCGCCGCAAAGCTGCGCCCACCTCCCTGGGAGCGACATGGCTGTTCACACAGAGACAGAGGGCCCCCTGTTGAAGCCGCCTCTGCTGTGGAGACTCGGTGAAGGCTCCCCAAGCTCTCGTCTAGCAGGTGCCTCTCTCACATACCCAGAACTGGGTCGCGCGGGTCTGGGACCAACTCATGTCAACATGCCTGCATTGACGTTTCTAAACAGACAGGAGGAGGCGGTACCAGTTACCAGTAAGCTAGGTGCCAGAGCACCTGGACTCATCATGCAAAATCGTAAAAAAGGCCCTGGGGTAGAACCTTTAAGGTATTTATCCTGAATTTACTCAGGCATTCAGCTGGATAAACAGCTATAGTGCATCTCTCTTTGGGCAGACACATGCAACAATATGAAATATTCAGTGTTTTCCTACAATTACCACCGAGTGTGTCCTTGCAATAAAGTGATACAACCTCCTATGTTACAGCACCAGCACCTTCCACATGCCTACAATCAGGGGCAAGGACTGGACGCAGTGTAATAAAGCACTACGGAGATTCCCACCCTCTTATCGCTATTACGCAATGCAGATTCTGTCAGGAATGGCAGTGTTCAGAGAAAGCCCCCCCTCCCACTACTTGGAGGCAAGAGGAAAACCCAATGTTCCATTACGCCCCACCGATTCACGCTTCGTGCCGCTAGCCAGGTAGTCGAGCGCGGGCTGCCGGAGAGCGTTCGGTGAAGCACAACTTTCATTCTGTAAGCAAATGCTGACTTTCTTATACTAAGGGAAGTTGTGGCAAGGAAAAAAAAAAAACTGGCAACAGTAGAAGAGAAGATTTAGTTTAAAAAAGAAAACAAGGCAGTGAGGGATGACTCAGGGGAAAAAGAAGGGAACCCAGAAAGACAGCGTTCGCCACACGGGGGAGGTGAATAACAACGTGAGTGGAGCCGGGCAGGGCGGCGAGCCCAGCGAAGTGGATAAACACACAGGCTGGGACATGGCTGAGGAGGGGCCCACGGTGGCAAGCAATTAGGCCCAAAACCCCCAGTGCCTCCCGCACCACAATAACATCAGCACCAGGTGGCACTGTCTGCCTGGTGGCCCCCTTCCAGGGGTTTACGCTTCACATGTCACCCAGCGTCTCAGTGGCAGAGACAAACACTGGGCCCACCTGCAGCCCCCACCACCCGCCCCCTGGGTGTAACACAGATGAAGGAAACACGACTCACAACAGCCCTCATCCTGTGAAAACCAGAAAGAGGCCCTGGGTGGGCTGGGAGCCGAGTCAAATAAGGGCGGAGGGCAAACTCCTCGTGAGAGTACTCCCACCACCAAGGTCTGGGGGGGGGACCCAGTGAAACGAGGCAGACCTCTGTGGTCAAAGTCACTGGCTCAAATGTCTGCATACATGCTGTGAATGCACTATTGCTGCTTTTACTACCCATCCACACCACAGCCATTAATAGGCCCATTAACCCTTGACATGCTAAGTCTTGCAGAAATCCCCCAATCACAAGCGGGCAGGAAACACAGAGCGCAATCACAACAGCATGCTCCTCACCACGGCTTTCGAGAATCAGCGGCTGCATGCAAGACGCATCAAAGAACCACGCACTGCATGACGACGTGCACTTATTTACAGTCTCACATCAAAGGGCTTCCTCCATCAATAGCACGGCCCCTGTATGCAGATGGAGCGGTATGGAGGGTGGATGGGCACCAATCAGATATGCCCACGCAACCTCTATAGATACAGGAGACACACCTAACGGCACAGGCCCTGATAACAGAAGGCAAGTGTGGAAACTTCACCACCACATGATGATTCATCCAATGCAACGCCACTAGTAACAGCTTCTCAGGAAACGTACTCAGTTCTATGAAGACTTTGCCCTATCAAGCCACTGAATCTGAATACGCAGAACAAATGGAATTAACACCGTCAAGGTGACTTAAACCGGTGGTAACACCGGCAAACCACTCATGGAAACTGATCGGGCAAGTCTTCAGGTCTTTCCAGGAACACTGGTTGATTTAAATCTCTAAAAATAATTGACACATGGAGGGGGAAAAAAAAATGTAAACAACGTTAAACAGGATTACGAGGAGGGTTTGAATGCGGAAGATGACTTTCATAATCCTCTCAGGCCGAGGCATTTAAAGCTCCCCGCTCAGATCAGGGCCACACTGAGGTGTGGTGACAGCAACGTTCAGGGCAGGCAGTGGCAAGACACCGAACGCCCTGCCTGGATTTGTGAACCTGATTTTACAAACTCCGCCTGGTTGGTGGTCCGTCCATGGCCACTACTGTTACAAAGTCAGCCGTGGTGGAGCTTAATCTTTTTCCACTCACTGGCTTCTTAATCCCCTTAGTTTTCAACAGCCACACCTGGCAGGGGGGCCAAAGGGCCTGTTTGTATCCATTCACCTCCCTCCCTCACAAGCCACTGTGAGAGTCAAACACGCCAACTGACACTGCAGGAACGGGACGACGCAGGGGTGACTTCAGACGGGACGGGGAACCACCATGGACCATGATAAACAAGTTTTTATTAACGTTTTTATTTTACTATCCTTCTACCTTGTTTATTGCACAGTCTGGAGTAGCGGCAATTTCATTTCATTTTGTTGGTGGAAATCAAGAGAAAACAGAGAAATGAAGGGAGATAGGAAACATGAAACATCTCTCATACCTGGCTGAGCAGCTGGCCATGGAAGATGGTGTTGACCACGCTGAGCACCTGCTTGATGAGCCGCCTCTGATTGGCCGGCACGTTGGCGGGTGTCAAGGTGCCCGTGTTCTCAAGCTCGCGCTGCACCTTGTCCAGCAGCTCGCACAGGAACTCCTGGGCGTCCTGCTGGGCGTATCCGCGAAAGGCGGGGATAAGCTGCCACACAGAGTGCAGCATGGCGAAGGGCGACACCAGTGCCCACTTCCCCGACCACATCACCTGGAAGAGGGTGTGCAGCTCGTGGCACAAGGAGATGTGCTTGGAGCTAGGCTCCTTGGGCTGGATCAGCTCCATGCTGCGGGAGCGCGAGGCACCTCCGCTCAGTCCCGAACCCGCCAACGAACCCGTGCGGGGGGCCACCGCCGCCATCTCAGTGGGCCCCAGCGACAGGTGGGTGCCCTTTGCACCGTCGCCCCCCCCTCGCACCACCAGCCGCCCGTTGACGGCATTGGCCAGGAGCTCCAGCGCATGGTTCAGGTCCAGCTGCAGGAAACACTCCCGGAAGATGTGCAGGTGGCTCAGCACCTGCAGGATGGAGTTCATGTAGCAGGTGTTGCCCAGGTTACGCAGCCCAGTCACGCCTGGGGTCACCGTGGGCCTCCGCTTGATGGGTGAGTCGCCCACCTTGGGGGGCGGGCTCGCCGACCGAACAGAGGGCGGGGCTTTGGCAGCTCTGCTTCTCGTTTTGGTTTTGCCTGAATGGGCCGGGATCGGCATAGGCTTTGCGGTTGCCCTCCCCCTCCTCGGTGAGGATTTAAGCACTCTGGGGCTCTTTGACGTCTTGATGGTTCCAGAGCAGACAGCCCTGGGAGCTGCAACCCTGCCTGCAGACCTTCGACTGTGCTGCTGCTGGAGGAGGCGCCGGCTCTTCCGGGGTGGGGCGCCCCGCAGGACCTCCATGCGCCGCCGCTTCAGTTCCTGTCGCCGGTCCTGTGCCTCCCGCCTGCGCTCCTCTGCCTCCTCCCGCTGCCGCTCCTCCTCCGCCCGCTGCCGCCCTCCTTCCGTCAGCTCAAACCACGAGCGGAACACCCGGCCCATAAGTGCGCGGCGCCGGTGCCACAGAGCTGTGAACATGCGGTCCTCGTCCCTGAGCAGCAGCTCCTGAGCACCGCCCTGGGGGACGTCGTCTCCCGCGGCAGCCGCGGAGCGCAGGGTGCGCCCGCTGCGCGTCGTGCACTCATAGCGCTGGCTCTTGATGGCATTGAGCGTGCCACGCAGTAGCTTAAGGTCACCCGTGGCATTGTCGTTCAGTACATAGTCATCACACAGGTAGCAGAAGACATACAGCTCATTGACCTCCAAGGCCACCGGGTGGCGCTTCTCCAAGAAGTGACGGAGCGCATGTTCCTCGATGTAGCGGCCGCAGGCCACATGCGAGCAGCTCAGGCAGGCCCACACAGACTCTGTGGTGTTGCAGTCTACGCAGTGCCACTTCTGAGGGTTCAGAATAGAGTGGTCCTGGGCTAACCGCAGTCTGCCCACATGCTTGCACCGGTCCATCACGTGCCTGCTGCCCACTCCGGCTTCAGATCACCATGGCAACTGGGGAAGGCTGTGAAACAGGCCCCGCCCACAGCATTTTATCTAGGAGAAAGAGGGAAAAACTGATGTTTGAGAATCAAACAATTTTTTTTTTTTTTTTAATGTTTCATTTCATGGCAGCAAATACCAAAGCGGTTCTCCGAGAACAGAAAATTACAGCACTCTATGTCGCTTCAGGGGTGAAATTATGCCATGGGCATTTTCCAATTCCTTTTCTGAGAAATATAATCTCAAAATGATTTTCCTGTATTCCACAAGGCAGTTTGAGAGAACAATTCTGACATTTCTAGGAAGCACTTCTCGCAGGAGCTTAGCCATAATACACACACAGGTCCCTTATGATCCCACTCGATTTAATCCCTCGCTGGGCACACAGCCCCCTGAAAAGGTCGGAATCTCCCCCAACCACCTCAGGCCTCTGAGCTGGGCGGCTTTCTACTCAGTTAACAAAAGGGGGGCCAACGGTGTAAAATGGGGCTGCCAGGGATGGAGCTGAGCCCCATTGTCTGAGGACAGGGTGACACACACTGAGCCCCGCGTCCAGAGTGACACAGAGACGGAGCTGGAGTGCTGTGCTCTCGCAGTTCCACCATTTTTCATTTTATGATACTGAGGCAACATCCTCTCGCTTGTGGTGCTGATATATTACGAACACACAAGCCATGATTTACCACAATGCTCTCAGGACGAACTGGTAAAATCACAAGATTCCCGAGGCCTTGGGAAGATCTGGCATTGAAATCCAGGATCAAATACATCCAGGGAATTCTGAGAAATATACACGGCGGGAGAATCTGAACACCTCATTTCACAATTTACAAAATACACCATTTCAATGTGCCAGCTCCTGAAAGCATTAACAAAAGCTGTGGAAGCACAACTGGGAACAGGCAAACAAAAAAAAGGATCCATGTGGAATATTAAGCCATTTAAAGCCTGGTTACCACAAGCTACAATATTAAGTCATAAAACTGGGCACCAATAAAAAATTGAGCCAAAATCTCTTTCAGAACAACAGGGTAAGTTAAACGGATAAAAGTTAAACCACTCCTTTAGTCTTCAGCTCCAAATTGAAGCTAATATTGGATTCCACTAAAAAGATATTTAATTTTAGATCTTATTTATTGTTTATTTCCATCCACCTACAGAATTTAAGCCTCACAAACACTGAAGATCTGGTCGTGTTTTCGCCCTAATTAGACAGAAAGCCGTGGTGGGGGTGAGGCCGGGAGTGCTGGACGGTCCATGTGGTTTTATTTTTAAGGCACCAAAGCGAAGGCGAGCGCGTCCGTGTGACAGTCCGGCCTCCCCCTCTCTCAGAGGCCAGCCAGCGAAAGCCCGGCCAACAAGGAGCGTTTTTCAACCGAAACCCGCGAATCAAACGGCAACTCTGAAGCAGCAGCACGGCCAGCCGCGGTGGCGGCGAACAAAAAGGGAAAGCGGGCAGCGCTGTGTACAAACACGGGCTATTATTAACTGCAGGGGAACCCACCTCCCACCTCCCACCCCCGACTGCACCTATCCGACGGGCAGCGCTGTAAACCGTAAACTGAGTCGAACACGCTTCGGGAGGCGAAGCCGAGTAGTCCCCCCCCCTCGGGTTTGTTGGCGACGTCCGTTAGTTGTATTTTAGGAAAGGGGGGAGGGTTAAGAGAAACACGCACCGCGAGCGTCCACCAAGCTCCGGGGCTGACCGCGAAAGGGTGTGCTGGGGGGCGGGGGGGATGCTGCAGCTTCGGCCGGCGTTGGACCCCCCCCTCCCCGGGCTTACCCAGTACAACAGCACGTCGGCTCCCGGGCGAGCGACACGGACGGCAGCCAGGTCCACAGAGCCAGGCAGCCGAGCTTAGCTACTACCACCGGTACAATAAGGACCATGTCAAAGCGACCTTACATGGCAGCACACATCACTATCCGTGACTGATACTGTTCTGAGTCACGTTTACAGCTTAATGGCCACGGCTCAGCGACCGGGTGCGTGTTATAAAGGCAAAGTAACATTTGCTTGTTTTTTTATTTTCCAAAAAAAATTCAGACGTACCTATCACGCTAGGGCGCTCACTCCGCTGACACTACAACCGTCGCCATCTTCTCTACTCCTGTCGCGTGGAGTCGGCTTCCCCCTGCGTCGTCCGGTGACGTCAGGAACCTAGAAAAGTACGTTCGTTGCGTCACCCCCGCGCCCCGCCCCCTCCGCCGCGAGACAAAAGAGCCCCGAGGCAGTGGGAGTGTCGTGAGTTTGTGGCTGGTACATGTCTGGGATCGTAATAGTACAAAGCGCTACTCACGAACGCGGCATTTTCGTTTAACTAGTTAATAAGTTAATAAAACTTTGCAGAAATTTAAAACATGACATATTGCAATTCTCTCACTTTTTGGAAGCACACTTCTACAGTTCTGCCACTTTGAAGAGTAGCCTTTCTAAGACCAATTGTATTGTATTTCCAGAGTTAATGATTAATTGCTACTGAATAATTAGTGTTGACTAGGCAAATTACATCATTGAATTGATGTCCATCAATTAAACCGTAAAGGTCATTTTCCTAATAAACTCTTTTGCCGTGTTCAACACATATGGACAGGTAATCTCTGAGTGAATTGCGTTTAATGCTGTTCTTTGAAAGTTTATTGTTGATTCATCAGCTTCCCTATTTCGTGTCTTCAATTTGATGAAAACAACTTTTCAAAGTCATAAAACTGGTAACGCATTTGCGTGTTAACTAAGCTGTTTTCGAAGAGGTAAGGCGACGTCCTGATGCATATAATCAATGTGAAAGACGGATTAGTAATTCATAACCGTCTCTTTATCGACAAAATGTGACCAAAGATCCAGCATGTATAGAATTCACAACGGCGGGAGTTTTAGGAAGCGCTATTTCACAGTAGCCTATTAGAGTGATTAAACGTGAAAGGGCTTTGCAATATTGACGAAAATACTTCCCGTGTTTTTAAATTAGATTTTCTAATTTGATAGTATAAATGCTGGGTTATATATATATATATATATATATGAATGAGACCCAAGGAAAAAAGTGTCCTTCAATTGTAGGTTATTTGTCTTTGGAGGAAATAAGACATCTTACAAATTTAGATTTTTTCTAATTTATTCTAGTTTTAATTTCACAGCATGTCCTCTTTAGTGCACAACAAGAATAAATACGTTTCCCAACATCAGTGAAAAAATAAATGCAAAAATACAATGTCCACTACAATGGACATAAATGAATAGGTCGGGTCTCAGGAGTGTGTGTGTGTGTGTGTGTGTATGTAAAAAAAACCTTTGTGATCTATTCTCTGTAAAGGAATTGCTTTGTTTTTGTTTCTGATCCATTTCAATTGTGATTTTAGTATTTCTTTTGTCTGACCATTCCTTCGGGAATTTTTTGTTTGTGTTATGTGCCACCATGTGGAGTTTGGGGTGAATGTACGGTCCCACCTACTTTCCCGCTATATTTATTCACCAGGCGAGGGCGCTGTCAGACTACAAATGCTATTTAAGTGAATTTCTGAAGCATTCTTTTATATATTTCATGCGGGTTGGTAGTGCAGCGATACTATCGTGACAAACAACGGGATGTTTAAGCTTTGTTGTGTTTATTGCGTGTTATTTGTTCTACGTTTTCACTTATGTTTTTTGTGTGTGTGTGTGGATTTTATTCGACCTGTAGTTATGAAGTCAACTTAAGTATTTACCTCAATGAAATTACGTTGGTGGCCTCTCAGATTGTGGCATTCGCACACACTCCTCCCTTAACGACGACACATACTTACTTGTCTCCAGAGGTGGCAATTTCAGGCCCAGAAAGTAAAAATCCAGACCAAAATTTTGTTTCATCCAACCGGTTGAGTACTCTGTGACTGTGACTCTTTATGCTCAACTGATTGGTTGAAAGTCAATCATGGTCTGGATTTTTACTTCCTGGATCTGAAATTGCCACCTCTGCTTGTCTCATGTTGCTGTATCCTAACACGGTATACTTACTCCCTCATAAATATACTTCAGGGTTATGTTTTACTGTATGATTTTGAAAAGTTTAGCTATACACTGGAGTTTCAGTGTCCAAGTAATCTTTTTTTACCTGTATTCTAGAACAATAGTGGTTGAGTCTTGAGTCTGTGAGTCATTGGCCTCCGGGTGTCTTTGTCCCTGGGTTGAGCCCAGAGTGACCACAGCTTAGGTGTGTGTCTTGTTCAAATGAGTCATTGTTTTGCTCCATTTGATTTTCCTAAGAGTAAGTAACTGTACTCGGGGGGGGGGGGTGTCGGAGGGGCCTGGCAGATTCAGGGGGCCAAGCGCTCAGCGAGGGTCCTTGAATATGTAAAAATGTACAAGGGGGTCCAAGACGATATTTTGTCAGGGACTCCAGAATTTCTAGGTGTGTTGCTGACTGTACTGTATAAGACTTCGTATGGTGGATATATTCTTAATGACTCATTATAGATACTTTTATCTTGGAAACCTTTTCCACATATTAGAAACCGTGACGGGGAATTGTTTGTTGGTCTGTGTATCGAATCCAGCTCTCTGGTGGTACTTGACTGCACAGAACTGGCAAACGCCAGTCTGAATAACAATTGGTCTTTGCACCTGTCACCTGGCAGATGTACATACTGCGGTTTTCTCCTGAGAGAGAGGGGGGCTGTTCCCTGAAATCACGTGGCAAACGGCGTGGATCAGGAGCGGAATGTTGTTTTTCTCCAAGGTGTTTTGGGAATGGTTCGGAGTTGACTTTCTGCTATCTAGTCTTATCCCATTTATGGCTGCGAGAAGAAGGCAAGTCAGCTTCGGAATGATGTCATTAACTGTGTCATCAGGACACAAGAATTTGTCTCCTGGGGCGCTCAGTGTCACATCCAGCCCCTCCTCCGTATCAACGAGAACAAACACATCTTATTGATTATCCAAATGCCTGAGATCCTGTTCATTTATCACTGTGCTCTTGGATCACCTGACTTGACTCTTACTTTTAGAACTGACAAGTGTTCGCATTATTGCTGATGATCTCTTGAGATCTGTATAAAAAAAACATTCCCATACGGGACACTTTTTAAATGCCACGTGGTTTCTCAACACGTACAGAGGATCCTTTCACCCCAGTACGGTGGGGTTTAAAAAGTTGTGTGGTGTACTTTGCTGTCATGGTTCAGCATCAGCGTTAAAACGTAACATCACAGAACAAATCTCTAGTTAAAAATATGACTTTGATGTTAGTGTCGATGAAGAAATCTTAACCCACTGTTATGAATTTATGTTATAAATCATCTTCTAAAGACGGCTGTTAAAGCGGTTACCCCCCACATAAACTGCTATTATGTGTGATTTGTTGTGGGTCTTTGTGCTATTTCTGTGCCCTCTGCAATTTTGTTTGCTTTGTAGATTGGGCACCCGATTCCTGTTGAATTGCTTTAAATGTTTTTCTGTATCTCTGCCCCCGGGGGTAGAATCGGGTCTTCATGTCGGCACACGCTGCGCCCATAACTCCTTTCCCCCCCCCCACACCGACTTTCAAACTCCCACACCTGTCCTGCTCCCACAAACAACACGTCTCTGCAGAGGAAGAAGAAAAATCCTTTTTTTTTTTGCTAAAAGTATTATAAAAAATATTCATAGCACCAGTGTTTTGGAGACTCAACATGGGGATCTTGCGACAGGGCCGGCCTCCTCATGCACTTTTAAATGTGATTTCTGCGTCTAGATGTAGGCCAATTGCAATGCTCTCTGATGCCATCCAATTAGATTCTGAACATGGTTTTGTCTGGTCCACTTTCTATTTTACAGTACTTACCTGGTTTGACTTTCACGTTGTACCTTCCTCAAAAAAACCCCACTTTTCAGCTTTTCTTTGTGCCACGGATGAACCTCCAACCGCTGCCATCGAGGTGTAATGATTAAACACGTCATCTTTCACTGCTTGGTGAAAATTTGTCATCTTTTGTAAACCTGTGGCCATACTTCTATGTTTGCAGGTACATGGTGGACTCCAGGAGAATGTCTTGCCCTTTTTTGAAAACGTGAACCACTCACAACGCCAATGGTAATCTGTAGATTGCATTCAGAAGGGACAAAAGACCATGTGACCCGAGAGAAGAGCTTGGAATGGTGACATGGCTCAGAATGCCATGCAGATGGCCAGTGGTCTTATTGTTGGCGGTGAAGTATGGTTGTACAGGGCCCTGTATGGTCAGCACACATGGCCTGGCAGGGCAACATCCTCTGGTGTCCAGACATTTGCCAGAACCTTCCTTCATGTTGGACTATGCAGAGCCTTTTCAGCACATTATCGTTGCCTGCTGTTCTGCAAATCTACTCCTGAAACCCAAGAAGATGCTGCAGCTCCGCAGCGATTCGCGATTCATGCCTAGTTCACCAGCCCAGACAACAGACGCAGCTTGTTAAATGTCGTTACGCAAAACTACGCAACTCGTTTTACAGGTGAATGCCTAGCCGGCAACAAGGGATTAATTCATATACTGAGTAGTTGGAATGCATCGCTGTTTGTCACCTAATGAGTTTCTTATGTTTGAAATGGATTCTGAAAGAGAGGCATGGAATGAAATTTCTAAATGATTTCTAGTGAGGATCCACAGAGTTTTTTTTTTTTTTTCATGAAAAAAAAAATGCATAGAAATTTGAAGATACAGCTCGACTACTGACTTTACCTGTGCTCCCGTAAGGTCAATTTTTCAGCAGCTGTGGTGCCATTATGAACAGACAGGAACCAGCTATGAGGTACCAGTCATGCCCAAAAACCTATTCCTGGCCCAAAAACCTATTCCTGGCCCATAAACCACTCCCAGTCAGGCAAAATACTTCAACTCGCCTCAACCAAAAGTATTTCTGAGGGGAGCACCCACTGTCTGTCAGTCTGCACCCTCCTGTTTCCTGGGTTTGGGTGTGTTCCCCAGTGAATTATTTATATTTTTAAACAGTTCGATGACATAAGAGGATAGTGGCGTTGAGATGCAGAGTTGCGTGTCCCATCTTTCACTAAGGCTGCTAAATAAATTGCAGTATGCAGAGCAGATTCTGTTTGGTCTTGTTATGAAACGCTGTGCTTTTGGTGAGAGGGGATGGTTTAGATGCTTGGTGTGTCTGGATTGTTTCGAGTCAGGAAGGCCAGGGAGATATACGGTCTAGCATCATCCCCTTTTCCACTGGAACGACTGTGAGTTAGAGTTTAAGCTCATGTCGCCTTTTGCCCAGTGAATAACCCACCTGGTCACATTAATTTTTTGCTATCCGTTCCTTGATTAATCCATTGTTTATGCTATTTTGATCACATCTCGCATGTGTCCCTCAGTTGAGGGCCCAAAAGTAACCATTTGTACAACTTCCTGGATGGTAGGTCAGCGTGCTGAGCTGGGGGATTCTCTCCCCCTGCACTTCAGGGTGAGGGCAGCTCTGTGGTGACCTCTGCAACCTACACTCTTCATTTTTGCGGGATTTGTGGTCCAGGGCCTCCTCTTTCCATGCAACTTATTTTTCTTGTGATTTCTCTTTTCTTTTGCCTTGTATCTTCCTTTTCTCTAGCATTTTGCCCACGCTGCCAAACACTGAAGTCATTTCCCATCCACCCCGGTGGTCCGAGAACGTCGGCATTCCTCTTCTGTTTGGTTAGCAACCGTAACACCTCCACACTCCAGACACATTTGACACACGCCTGGAATAAAAAGCAACTCCGCATTTTCTGTCATCCCCAAAGCCAAATGAAAGATGATATTTCTTGACCTTTCATGAAGAGAGATGTATTCATTGGGGAGTGTTAGAGTCACATGACCGGTTGTAGTCGTCAGAAGTTACAGGTTTTCCCACACGTTTCGTATTTGCCTTGTCATTCGGGTGATTTATGAAACGCAATTCAATATTGGCACAAGTTGACCTATAGAGGAGAAGTCGATGGGACCTCTGCGAACTGCATTTATTTACATTGGATGCTGCTGCCAAATTTTCCAGCACAAAAGCATCCCTGTCCTTATGCTTTTTGACATTGGGGACAGGCTGGCTAGCTTGGGATAATGGCCAGGATTTCGTTTTTGACGGTCATGCAGAGAGGGGCATGGCCCCGTGTTTGAGTCCACGAGGGCTTCTCTTTTCGGGGCTACCAGGACCATTTCAGTACTTCAGCCACCCCCCCCCTCCCTTAAGTGCTTCACCACCCCCCCACTCTCGAAACCAGCCACACCCTGAAAGGCGATTAAAAACACAGGAATGTCCACAGAACAAAGGCAATAACGTAATTACACGGCACATATCGTCTCACAGTGCAATCATGGGACAGTACTGTCTCATGAGCCCAAACCAATGATCTCATTGTTGGATTGTTAACAGGAATATTCTTTATAGCTTGGAGAAGATGAGCGATTTAGTTCTGTGCTCAAGCTTCGGCAGTTGGCTGTTCCTCTTCTTGGTTTTTAATCAAACCCACGCAGCTGTAAACCCACTGCCCCGAGAAAGACAGACAAGATGCCCACAAGAGCAGTATCACCGTCACTTTCTGGAAGTTTCTGTCATAGTCTTCACCTCCTTTTTTTTATCTCCTTTCAACTCCATGGTGGATGTTACAGACTCTCAGGCTTAAGAACATAAGAGCATAACATATACAAACGAGAGGAGGCCATTCGGCCCATCGAGCTCGCTTGGGGAGAACTTAACTAATAGCTCAGAGTTGTTAAAATCTTATCTAGCTCTGA